TTTTAAAGTTCTTCAATTGAAACCTTATTTTTGGTAGCTCATATAAGACTAAAAATGGGAATCACCACTACCTAACCTAGGATCGATTTAGTATTCTTGTTGGACAACTCCACTTGGTTTTTAGGACAAAACCAAGTAACCATGGGACATGTTTAATCACATAAACATGGATAATAAAATTAGAATTTATATAAATATATAAATATAAACATGCAAATGCAACATTATAAAAAAGTACAATATCTACCTTACCTAGGATAGATGAAGTATTCTGGTTGGTCAAGTTTAATTAATTTTTAGGTTAATACCAAGTAACCATGGGACATTTTTACTTGCATAAACATGGAAAACAATATTGGAACTTAAATAAACATAGAAAGATAAACATGCAAATGTAAGACTATATATGATAGAATCCTTACTGAACCTTGATCCTCTTCATTATTCTTATTGACATAGTTTGCTTGGTTTTGTCAACAAGACCAAGTAACTATATGAGGTTATTAAATCCTATCTAGAATTTTGATTATTAATCTCAAGATTTGTGATCGTATAACTATGAGTCATCTAGCAAATAATTAATTCTATAATTAACACATAAAGTCAATCAATAACCTCTACAAACATTTTTAATCATTTAATATATAATAAATTATTTAGGTTCCAATCAATCAAGAAATCATTCAATCTTCATGTCTACAATCAATAATCATTAAACTTAAATCACCTGGATAATTGTAGCCTTGCACTAAAATAAGGTAGCTTAGTGCATTGGCCTTCATGAATTTAATCATGCTCTAGATGCTTCATTAGGAGTTTAACATTGCAAATTAAACATCACTAACCCTCTAAATTAGTGATTAATCATGATGACTCAGCTGAGCTAGCTTAGGCTACTTGACTTAATCACCAACACCTCTATCACATCTAATTCAAACCCAAATCAATTCTAAATTTCTCCTCACTATTTTGAATACCACTCTATATGAAATAAATATAATTGGTCACCCTGACCTAGTTAACAGTTGGCTTGGTCAACTAAACCAATGTCTAGTTAGACTAGACCCAATTGGACCAAATTATCATGTACACTCAAATCAATCTATTTAAACCCTCAATATTACTCCACTACTTGATTTTAATACAACCAAAATTTTCCATGACTCAAGTTTGATATATTTTACTTGGTAAAATTATCAAAGATAGTTAAATTCTTGTAGATAGTCAAACCTTAATCAAATATTCATATAAGGATTTAAAATGCGTAGCATTCCATCTAAACTAGCATGTATATAATGCCTCAAGCCCACATCAGCTATTATTGATTATTTAACAAGTCAAATAGTCCATACATCTTCCAAAATGCTTGAAATGTTCAACACATTCAAAAAAAACTTTCCCTCAAAATCAAACCCTCAAAGAAACACAAATCCCTTATGGAACATCCTAAATATCACCTAAACTATCTTTGATTATTGATTAGCCCTAAATAAGCCAAGTGGTCCCATGTGCCCATATAAAGACAAATAAACCTTTCTATATCCTCATGTATTTCCTATTTGATTTTACGCCTCCAAACCACTTGAGGGATAGGTGGCAACCATCCTAGCATGCTTCCAAACCTATCCTAACCATCCAAGGGAGTTAGAACAATTAAATTTGCCAAAAGGTCCCATGTGCCCATATAAAGACAAATAAACCTTTCTATATCCTCATGTATTTCCTATTTGATTCTATGCCTCCTAACCACTTGAGGGATAGGTGGCAACCATCCTAGAATGCTTCCAAACCTATCCTAACCATCCAAGGGAGTTAGAACAATTAAATTTTCCAAAAGGTCCAAATCTTTAATACAAGTAATTAGACTTTCTCTCACTACCTCCAAGTCTAATCCTTTTTTTTTTGTCCCTACACACATCCCTTCACATTTTCTAAGCTTTAATCCAGTGATTGCAAGATACCAGCAATGAGCTTTCGGTCACCCTCACTCAAAGTTCAACCGAAGGTTCCTACTCGTGATCTAGACCATTCCAACCTTTAAAACCTTCAGGAGAAGTGTACTAGACATCTCAACAATCAAAACAAGATTAAGTTTGGTTATTTACATCAATTGGATTAAGGTATAACTTAAAACCTAGCATGTAATAGATAGGTTGAAATAAAATCACAAAAATATCATTTCAAACCCCCAAATCACATCCCATTGTTCATTTAATCCTTATAATGCTTTTTTTTATCCATTTGTAAGTTTGGAACATTCTTCGTATTAGGGGAGTATTGATTGCGTAATGGGACCACTCTAACTTATTACATGCATTCTCATAGAAATTTTAATGAGAACTTTATTTAATGAAAATAAATATAATTGGGAAGTATTGATTGCATAAAATGTAAATAAAATTACAGTGTTCTTCCAAATTTTTCTAATTTGGATTCTTTTATTTTTCTTTTTTTTTTAGAAGAAATGCCAAAATGCATTAAGAAAGAAGCCTATATACAAACTACTCATTCAAGGGAAACCTATTACATTCCTCGTTTAACAAAACAACAAATGGAAGGAGGAATATTATTCTCACTAATAACATCCCAAAAGAAATTATACTCACAAGCTAAGTTAGCACAATAATTAGCTAACTTATTACATTGTCTATTAACAAAATTAAAAAACACTTTGTTGAAATTCTTCATGAATAATAGATCTTCATTTATTTGATCTTTCATCCTCTTCTCCGGTATGCTATACAACTTATGGAGAAAGTTGATGACATTTAGGTTATCTCCCTCTATGATAATGCCATTAGCCTCAAACATCCAACTTTGAATGAAACTTCTCAAAGATTTAAAAGCCAAAAGCTCCAACTGTGCACTATCCAATGAACATATCCACATCCAAATGACATTATAAACTTGCCTTTGTAATCTCTGATGACTCCACCAATTTTAGCTTTGTTCGACTTGCATAGGGATCCAACTATGTTTATTTCGACCAATTGGGTGGAGGGGGGTGCAAAAAATTAAACAGCCTTGAAGACTGATTAGTACCCCAGTTTCCCAATATGATTTTATCTTTATGTAAAGTAGCCATTAGATTTATTACTCTAGAAACAATACAACATCACTTTCTTCCACATCACCATGCTTCACACTATTTCTATTAATTCAGGAATGGAATATCGCAACAATTTAAGTATACTGTTTGGAAAGATATAAAGGAGTTGTTTCTATTTTTTTTTTTTTTTTTGAAGAAATGCATCAATTGCTCTTTATAATGTATCACAAAGTAACTAATTACAATTGATAAAAGGATCACATTCCTCCTTGATTAAGTTTAACAACAAGGAAGGAATGTTATCAAATAATGTTGGCTGAGAGGCAAGATAAAAATTCTTTTCTCTTAAGCTCACCCTCACTAAGTAATAGATTTAAAATTTAGTGGTTGCAAATTTTCTATATATATATATATATATAACAAAAAAAATAAAAAATAAAAAAAGATAACAAAAAATAATGTGAAACAAACATAGGATTCTATTAAACTAAAACTTGTAGCCAAATATAAAATTCTCCCCTTTTTTACATCAACAAAAAGAGGAGGAAAAAAATAAAGTTAACATTACAGGAAATAAAAGCAGTAAAACATATCAAATAAACACTATAGGTAAGTTGAATCCTGATCATGTGGTGGTGGTTGTGGTTGAAAGTATTGATGGATTGAGGAAATTTGATTATCAATTGATCGAAACCTTATTCCAAACCATTTTATTTTTTCCTCGTTCTACTATAGTTGAACCTAGCTTTTAATTGTGCAAGTCGTTGAATTATTTCATTGTGAGGGTAGGCAAGGTAGGCAGCTTTAGATGGTGGTATTGGTGGCGGTGTAGGTTCACCTATAGGAGTAGCTTCCCTTTTTTAGAAACTTTAGCTCATTGTGCTTTTGCCCTGGATGGAAATGGATACAAAAGGAGGCATCCATATAAAAAATATGAATATTATTGGAAGGAGAAGGATAGTTGATTTAGTATTTTTTTATCTAAGATATATCCTATGATGTGTTTTAATGCAATATTTTATTTTTCTTTAAATACTGGAATGTCAAATATGAGTCATATTTTGGATATAATCAAGAATCCTTTGGGTTTCATCAAATTTGGTATTCAATATTATTAAGTAGGTGGCTATAGAAAGAAGTGGTTAATTTTAACCTGAGCACTGGCTTTGGGTATAATTGATACTCTAAGGAGATGTTGGATAACCCAGGTATTCTAATTTAAGGTATGGACTAATGGTTGATGTTAATTTATGGGCACATTCATAATCATCAAGTTGACAAAACTCAAGTTAAAGTTAGTTATAGAGATAAGGGATTATGGACGAGGTCCGTTGGTAGAAAGACTGATATGTTTACCTAAATCTTCATTGGTGACCTCTATAGATTGTTGGCAAACAAAGGAAGTCATGAAAGAGGTTTCCAAATTTAGCCTAAGGTTTGCTAAGAATTCATAAAATAGTTTGGAGTTGAAGGAAAAAAGCTAGTGTGAGAATAAATTGAATAGGGTGGAGGCAAAGAAGTTCATCACCTTAAAGTTAAGGGTTGGTTGATTTAACATTCTAGAAGGGGTAATTTTTGCCTCCTTGTACTTATAGTAGGCATCTACATCCCGTGCAGATAGAAAATGATCATAAAAATGATGAGAGGAGGAAGAGCTTCCCCGGGTCATTCTACTGCATTTGCTTCCACCAGCCATTGGAAAGGTAAGGTTCATAAGGTATGCGATTGAGGGAGTCAAGAGTTGAGTGAATTGAAATGTTAAAATTCTTCAAATTTATAGATTTTAGGTAAGACCATATAGGATATATAAGAAGAACTCAAGGTTGTGAACGTCTGGTTCGAATTCTAGAGAGAGAAAGTTCATCGCCTATTCGAATTCGATTTTGCGCGGGTTTTCCGCGTTAGTAGGGATTAGCTCCGGATGATCGTCAGCTTTATCTAGCCAGTTTGTATGATTGTTCTGCGACCATTTGGCTCTCTGCGTGGTAGAGGATCGAATGGTATTGTGATTAGGGAAGGATTTAGACCTTTGAGCCGTCAAGATCCTGTTGAAGGCAAGGGGAAGAAGGTTTTAGTGGATGATTTGGTGGTGCAGAAGAATGTGGATACCCAGGGTAATCCAGGTTTGGCGAATCTTGATTCTTCGGTTTCAGATGATGTAATTCTACGTGTGAAAAATTTTTTGGAGTTCTTTATACGCCCGAGGGGCGTATTATTGAAAATGATTTGAATTCGGTGGAAGTTCAGAAGGAAAGTGAATTTGTGGATTACTCTAAGATCTGTGTGAAGGATTTGACTAGTTTTAAAGTTATGAAGAACAAGATGATTGATAGTTCTGGACATAAGGGTGTTGGTTAGGTTGCTGATGTCTGGCCGAAGCCAAAGCCTATCAAAATTACGTTTAACAGAGACCATGTTAAATTTTCTGAAGATGGTGTCACGGTCAGGTTAAAGGTGGATAGGGAGGCAGAGAACTCAAGAATTTTGAAGAATTCAATTATGCTTAAAGTCTTGGGGAATAATGTGTCGTTCTCGGTTTGTAGTTTAGAATTGAGAAGGCAGTGGAGAAAACACGGTGGATTTCATTTGACGTCGATTGGAATGAACTGGATTTTGTGTTCGTTCAAGACTAGTGAGGTGGTAGATGAAATATTGAATGGAGGCCTGTGGTATGTGAATGGGTTCATTGTTGGTATGGACAGATGGACGCCTATGTTTGATCCAGATTCATTTAAGGGAATCTCTGCTCCCATTTGGATTAGATTATCATGCTTTCTTTTGTACTGCTGGGATGAAGATAGTATAGCAAGAATTGGTTCTTTCTTTGGTTCTCCAATGTACATAGATGGCAATACCTTTCGCTGGAGTAAACGTGAATTTGCCCGTGTCTGTGTAAGGATTGATTTGGAAAAGAAGGTGCCAAATGGTGTTTGGGTGGAAGGTTCAGCTGGGAGGTTCTTCCAACGGGTGGAGTATGAGAAAATTGATCTTCTTTGCTATCAATGTGGCAAAGTGGGTCATGATAATAAGATTTGTTCGGAAAATGTAACTCTTGGGATACATGACCAAACAAGGAAGAAGACGGACACAGTTACGATGAAAGGTATGAAGATTGCACCTGAAAATAATCCTTCTGTGATCAGTGCTGAATATGGTATGTGGATTCATGTCCATTTAAAGAATAGAAGATTTAAAAGGGATATTTCCAATGGAAGAGGTGTGAAGGACAATGGGAATAATACTGATAACAGATTTAATAACAGCCATCAGGACAAGGTGCTGGAGAGAGTCCAGACAAGGACAAAGGTTGCCGAAGTTGTAGAAGAATCTGTTGTAGCTCCAGTAAAAAGTTCAATTAATATGGAGACAGCTGGAGTTGAGATGTTTGATATTCAATCAACTAATCATTTTGCTTTGTTGGTTGATAAAGATGTAGAGGAAGGTACTGAGAAGCATGGAGAAATTGATAAAGCTTTGGACGGAAGCTTGGATATACCTGAAATTGATGCTAACCACATTGATTTGGGTTCTCATAATGGTGTTGCCAAGATTAAACTAGCCAAGGAATTGAGATCATTAGGGCCGGTTGAGCCTGACTATAAAAAGAAGAAGAGGGATGGGAGGTTGAACCCCAGTAGTGGGGAGAGATTTTTTGTACATGGTTAAATGTCATCCATCTTATTTTGGAACTATAGGGGAGACAAGAAGAGAAAGGCTTCCTTGTATTTGAAGGAGATTGTTAGGGATCAGGATGTGTTCTTTGTTGGGCTTATGGAGACAAAGTTGTCTAGTATTGATAGGAGGAAGGTTGATTATATTATAGGGAGTGATTGGGATTTTTCACTACCCTGTTGTTGGTACATCTGGAGGTATTTTGGTGCTATGGAACAGAAAGTTGGTGACCTTTGATGTTATGGAAGCTACTTCACAAGCTGTCATTGGCAATCTCTCGGTTCCCATCTTGGGAACTTGGAGAATTGCTATTGTTTATGGTAACATGTGCTGTAAGGAGAGAGGAGGCCTTTGGAGTCAATTAGAGAAGAGTATGGAGAATGCTATTCCTTCTATTACTGGGGGGAGGGGGGGCTTCAATTATATCATTAATAAGGAGGAGAAGAGAGGAGGTAAGAAGTTCTTGTTCTCTAAAGGACCTAGGTAGATGAAGGGCTTTATAATGAATTCTGATTTTCATGATGTTGTTAGTGTGGGACCAAGGTTTACTTGGTGTAACAACAAGGAGGGTGCTTCTCAAATTTGGGAAAGGCTGGACAGGTGTATGTTGAATTCGATTGCTATTCAGAAAATTCCTTTAGTTGTCACAAGACATCTTGCGAGAATGGCATCTGACCATTATCCTATTGTTGTTAAGATGGATGAAGAGGTGCGGTTCAAGTCAAAGGCAATCAGATTTGAGGATACTTGGAGTTCCTACCCTACGGCCAAGAGTATTGTTTATCACTCTTGGAAGAAGAATGATTTCGGAGATGAGTATATGATCCTTCAAAGGAAGCTTAGCCGCACATTAAAATCACTATTTTTCTGGAATAAAAACAAGTGTAAAGATTTGAATGTGTTAAAGGAGAAATTGAAAAAGGAGATCCTTAAACTTCAAAATAAGGAAGCTTTGGGTGTCAATTGGTCGGTTGATGACCTTTTTGTTCTTAGAAATAAAGTCCATGAACTTAATGTTACTTTGAAGAGGCTTTCTACTTGGTGGAATCAAAGGGCAAAGGCTAGGTGGCATGAGGAAGGTAATACAAACTCCAAATTGTTTCATAATTATGCCTCAGCTAGAAGAAATGGGAATAGGATCATTCAAATTAAAGATGAGCTCAACAATTTGTATGACAAGGATGAGCAAATTGAGAAGGTCTTCATTAATTTTTTTTTTTTTTGAGAAGAAATGGAAGCACAGGGATTGTAAAGTGACGGGTTGGCCTATAGTTTTTAAAAACTAGAAGATTGCGGCTAATGATATGGATGTGCTCAATGCAGAATTTTCAGTAAATGAGCTGCATAATTCTGTTTTTCAGCAAGGAAACAACAAGTCACCAAGTTTGGATGGAGTCACCTCTTCTTTTTACAAGAGGTATTGGAGTATTATGTGGGAGACTCTTTGGAATGCAGTTAACTGTTTCTTTAAATCCTTCCATATGCATAGGGAGTGGAAGAATACTTTGATTGTCTTGATCTCTAAGATTAAGAACCCTGTGATTCCTTCAAACTTTAGGCCTATTAGCCTTTGCCAAACTAATTATAAGATTGTGGCTACCATGTTAGTTAATAGATGGAATAAGGTTATCTCCAAGATGATTTCAGAGGATCAAGTGGCGTTCATCCATGGAAGATCTATTATAGAGCATTGCCTTTTGGCTCAGTAGATCTTTCACAAGTTCAGAATTTCTAAAAATAAGAAGGGGTTGATGGCTTTAAAACTTGATATGGAGCAAGCGTATGATAGTATGGGATGGGCATCTCTTCGGCACATCTTGATTTGGTATGGTTTTCCTACTGATTTTTCTAACCTTCTCATGGAATGTGTTGTATATGTGAGATTCTCTATTATTATCAATGGGAGGAATTCTAAGTGGATTAATGCTCTTAGTGTCCTCTCAACTCTCACCATATCTTTTCATATTGTGCTCTCAACTCTTGTCCAACTCTCTTGTGCAAAGGGGACAGAAGCTTGGCATACAAATTTCTCCTAGAGAACCTATGATCACACACCTCCTTTATGCAGACGATGTGTTAATATTTTCTCATGCATCCGTGGATCTTGCTAATGCTTTGAAGACTATTGTGGAGGACTTTTGTAAGTGGACTAGACAAAGAATAAATGTAAGAAAATCTCATATGATATTAGGCAAGGTGGTTAGTTACTCCATGAAGAAGAGAATAGCCAAGGTTCTTGGCTTCAAAGTTGTTAAAGAGATGAAGTATTTGGGAGTGAAGATGTCTCTTAATAGACTTAAAATGGCTGATTTTCAAGAAATTCTGAGTAATGTTATGGATAAACTCAATGCTTGGAGTAAGAAGTCCCTATCATTGGAAGGTAAGCTGATTTTCATTGATAGTTCTTTTCTTTATATGCCTAATTTCTTAATTACTCATTCTATAGTCCCCAAGAGGGTTTTACATGAGTTGGAGAAACTTTGTAGAAGTTTTATTTGGCATAAAAACGATGGGACCAATGGTATGCACTATATTGCTTGGGGTGATATTTGTAAACCAAGAAGTTGGGGAGGGTTGGGTTTGCATTCTTCCCTCCTTAGAGTTGTGTCTTTAAGATCCAAGTTGGCTTGGAATTTTATTCAGAAACCGCAACTTTTGTTCCATCATGCAATGATAGCTAGATATGGTAGTGATGTGATGAATGGAACCCAAAGAAAGATTACTTCCACAGCTTGGCAAATTCTGGTGGATGGTGGAAAATATTTAAAAATGGCTGTTCGTTGGAGAGTGGGAAAGGGTGACAAGATTAATATTTTAAATGATACATGGCTGTTTGATAGATGTATCAACCATTGGCCAACTTATGTTGACTATGATTTTTTGGATGGAATGTACATACAACAGCTTTTGCTTAGCAATGGTGAGTAGATTTGTACCAAGTTGAAAAGGGCCTTCCATCCTGATCTAGTATTCTTGATTACCAAATTTATATTGAGTTTGAGGAGGAGGATCAGCTGGAATTGATGAAGATATGCTCGGGAAAGACAGTTTCAGCATTGGTGTATGAGCAAGTGTTGTCCAACAAGTTTACCGTGGAGGATGCTGATTACTTCAGCTGATTGCAGAAATTAAAACTTAAGAAAAAGGTGGAGATCTTCTGGTGGAGGTTGGGAAAATCAATGATTCCTACCAATCTTTTTTTGAAGAACCGCAGGATTTCAGATAATGATCTTTGTCCTAGAGGATTCCAAGTGAGTGAAACATATGAACATATAATAGTACACTGTAAATATATGACTGATGTCATCGTGAAGATGGGTGAATGGGGTATTTCTATTCCTACTTTTAGTTCTCTAAATTGCTATTTACTGGGGTTAAAATAGATAGCACAAATTAAATATGGGATTGTACATATTTACTGTAATATTGTATATCACTCTTGGAAGAATTGGAATGCTGTCAAGCACGGTAAGACTGCTTTGCCATGCTCTATGGTTGCTTCTAATGCTTTGTTCTCAGCCATTTTAAAATCAGGTCCATATCTTACTATCTGGGGTACTAATCTCCTTAGGGAGTCTCAAAGTACTTGGTGCCCTCCACCGAAAGATTGGATTAAGATCAATGTAGATGCCTCTTTGCTTAGTTCCAATTTGGCTTGTGTTGGTGATGTTTTTAGAGATCACAAAGGCAGGTTTATAAGTGCATTTGGGATGCATGGAGCTCATTGGGATATTGCTCAATTAGAGCTAGAAGCGGTTTTCTCGGTGAAGGAGTTTTTGAGAAGCTGGATGTTGGAAAGTAAAGGGCTGATCATTGAGAGTGATAATACCAATGTTATCAAGTTCATTCAAGACTCTCTAAAGAAGAATAAGTAGCAAGTTGATAGATGGCCGGCAAAGGATTTGTGTTTCTTAAATGATTTCAATAAAGTTGTTTTCCTCCATGCTTATAGAAGTTGTAATAAAGTAGCTAATTGTTGTGCTACTATGGCATTGGAGAGTAGTTTCTTTTTTGATAGTTTTTCTTCTGAGAACATTCCTTCCTTGTTGTTAAATTTAATCAAGGAGGAATGTGATTTGTTTATTACCTGTAATTAGGTCTTTTTTTGTTCTTAATGCAATTTGATGCACTTCTTCAAAAAAAAAAAAAGTAAGACCATAAAGTACGATCAAGGTTCGTACTCTACAATCATAGAAGTTAATTCCTCTAGATGACTTTTTTTTTAAATTTGTCAAATCATACTGTACAATCGGGTATCATACTTGATGATCTTAAGAAATTGCATCATCCTGAGGTTTCATCAATATTGTGTTTGATAATAGGTATCGTACAGTACAAATAGGTATTCATACAATATAAAATGCAATTATTATTATTCTTTCCAAATTGTATTCATTTCAATCTAGTTTGACACATTATCGTATAATATAAAGAGACGATTTGTATCGTAAGATTGGTAATTATTTTATGCCAAATGAATTGAATACCTCAATGGTTAGTTACACGTAGATTGTATAGTATGAATAGAGGTTCATACAGTATGGTGCATATATCAAAGATCTTATCTGGACCATCAATTAAACTAAGGGTTGTGATTTGTTCATATCCTACTATACGGACGTTGATTGTACAATATAATATAAGTAAAAAATTTAAAAGATTTTGTGAGTCAGTGAGATGTGTGCGTCTAATGATCAGGAAATATCATTCCTTTTAAATCATAAACAATAAATAACAACTCATAGACATGCAATTGTAACATTCCCTACACTGAATTTGGATACAAAAATTAATCATTTCCTTTTTCAAATCGATAATATAAGTTTTAGTTAATTCTACAAGATAATTAATACTAATTATTCATATTTATATAAAGAAATATTAAATTAAATTGAGTGAGACAAATAACATTTAATTTGTCCACAATATAGGGCATATTTGATTGCATAAATATTAACACAAAATAGGAATTTAAATAAACATACACATGCAAATACAAAACTAAAAACAATATTTATATATAAGGCTAAACTAGACATGAATATGCATGGCTAAACTAGACATGAACATACAAGGCTAAAATTAAATTAACATACATATACATGAAATTTGATAGCCCAAATATTTAATAAAATTTAAATATATTTAAAAAGTTTAGTATTTACTAGAGATGGAGAGCAAATTCTAACCTAGTGGAGTCTCTAGAAAAATCTATGGACAAATTTTACAATCATTTTGACAATAGTTGCTTCAAAATATTTCAATAGGCAAATCTAAATTCATTAATATTATATCATCGTGAGAGATAGAATAGTGTTTCACTATGGATTTGAAAAGTGAAGCAATCAATTCATTTTCATGATCAAAAGTAACAAAAGGAATATTCAATTCAACCCAAATAATAAAAAAGATATTCATTTTTCATTTTAAACATGAAATTAAATTAATGAATTTAAAAATCAAATAGAATAAGGAATATTCAATTCAAGTATAATGATATAAAGAATATTTAAAGCATAGGTCTTCATCCATTAATTTTTCATATATCTTAAAATGGAACTAAGGTAGGGTTTTTTAATTCTAGATTCTAGACATCCTATAAGGGAAATCACTATAGTTAATAACATCTCCTAGGAGAATTCTCTTGATTAAATTAAGGACTAAAATTTTAAATTTATATATATTTAAAGAAATGCATGGGCTATAATGATTTCAATTTGTAGGCTTTAAATTATAAATTCAAATTTAGATTTGGATTTTTGGAAGGCCATAACAAGAAAGAAATGTATAGAAACTGGTGGGTATAAATAATTTGGACTAACACTTTTCTAAACTGAGATCTAGTTAACAATCCTAAGCATAATCAATCACCTAATGAATGTAAGATTAGATAGGCTCTATCTTGAAGTCAAGAAATTTTAATTTAGAAAACTGTAATAAGAACATTATGATATATACATGATCGCATAATAAACTGATGAATGAATAAAAATGTAAAAATAAAAAAGCTTTTATTCATTGACAATTTCTTAGAATATAGCAAATGGTCTGCTATAAAGTAAAGATGATCAGGCTCCACCAACAAAAAGTCTAGATTTTCATTCCTATAAAATATAAATTTGAATATAATAATTTACTAGTCATGGAATCTTCTAGCTTATGGATCTTCTATACAATTCCAAAAGATAATGATCTTCAAATGACAAAGAATAATTTCTTTTTGGAACATATTAATGCATATAAATAATAATCTTCAAAGCTTTTACAACTCTTAACATTATACATCTCAATCTAGCTATACAAGTATCTAAAATATTTATATTTACATTTTCCTTTACATCATTTCCTAGGTACATTATACTTTGCAAGAACATAAAAGAGTAGTATATATAAAAGAAATATATATATGCAATACAGTGTGTGTGTGTACTAAAACTAAAGTAGCTTAAGAGCCTACTCAAACTATGCACCAATAAAAATATAAATAAAACATTTAAAGTATAGAAAATAAATAATACAAATACGTCTAACCTATAGACAAGGCACTCTAAAAGCAAACTAAACCAAATCATTAGCCTAACCTAGGCTAAAGTTGGTTATCCAAGCAAGCCATCTAAGTGTGTGTATAAGGCTATGTGGCTTTGATAGGTCCTAGGTTTTATTATTTGACTATGAATTAGTGAACCCATCATGTACATGTTTATAATAT